CTTTTGATCGATCGTCAACAAGCGCGGCACCCAGCGCGCGGATAATTTTCTCATATCCAATTCTTGATGTAAATCTTGTGCACCCGTTCAGATGATATCCCACAAGCCTTAGCAATATCCTTAACAGTCAATCGACGATCTTACATCACAGTTTGATGCACAAAATCGATCATTTCGTCAGTTGTAGCGATTTTCGGACGCCCGGAACGTTCCGCGTCTAAAATGCACGTACGACCACGTTTGTACTCGGCCACCCAATGTTTGACCGTTGTAAATGAAGGGGAGGCTTCACCGTATACAGAGTCTAACTCATCTTCTTTTTTCTGAGTCTTTTTCCTTTTCAAATGAAGGAATTTTATCACTGCGCGATACTCGATTTTCTCCATTGTTGACAGACAATGTCAGCTGATAACTTTGGAGAGTTGCCATAGACAGAGTAATGATCAGAATGACTTCAAATTTTTACGGTTTACATATGTCAAGACGGTGAAAGAAATTTTTTCTACAGTTACTTTATGTTGATAAGGCCGGAAACTTTTCAAATGACCCTCGTATGATTGCATTATTCTCTTTGAACGGTTCTCGTGCATTACTCACATATTAATTCTAATAACTCACATATAAATCGCGACTCAAGAATATTCGAATATTTCCCAAGGTGTTGTCGCGATCCATCTCGATCAGCCTCAGGACGATTTCGTAAACGTCCCTAAGCGTTGGCAAAGCGATCTAGAGCACAATCAGTGCTCTCAGGCGTTATCGCAATACGTTTCAATTTAACGAGACAAAGTGAATAATAATATTTTAAAAGTTGTTAAGTATTTTCAAACCGTTGTATCAAAGTTTAATAAACATATTGTGTTAATACGAAAAGTGCAGTGAAATATTAAGTTATTTCATCTGAAACACATACGAATTTCACGAAACAAATACATATATAAAAATGCAGATACTCAATCATTATTACAAAAAAAATTTTATTCGTTGATTAATTCATAAAGTCAGTCAACAAATAATGTGTTAAACACATTATTTATAAAAATTCGTATCAGTTTGTTTTTACACAGGCTTACATAAATATTAATAGCAAATTTGATTGGGCGCACTAGAGTGCATTGAAGTGTATATTAAAATCGTTGTACACTGATTTAATCTAAATATAAAAATGAAATATCTTGAATGCCCTATTTTATCAAATAAGATAAGAGGGAAAAAAGCAAGAGGCAAAAAGCAAAGAGCACATTGTAGATCCAACCTTTACCACTCTTGCCTTTTTGCCTCTTATATGCCAAACCGTCATTTTCACCCGGGATAAATGTTGACGAACTTCGAAAGAAACAGGAAACACATGATAAGAAACGTGATTGTCGATGAAACGGTTACAAAGAAAAAAAAAGGCAAAAGATAAAAGCAAAAAGCAAGAAGCAAAGAACACATTGTAGATCTAGCCTTAATTTCATCAATTTTGTCGCTATGTCTCCAGTTTTAACAAAATCAACGCAATTTCAATGCAACATTTATATAAGCAAATACCTAAATACATAATAAGACACCAAAATCATGTTTTTAAACTTCTAAAAATCCATTGTATGTATAATACATTTATGACAACTTTAAAAGAATAAAAAGTAAAGAAATAACGTTTTACAACATATGCTAAGTAACCAAAGGTATTTGTACCAATAAATAATAATCCATACGTAAGCATTCAACAATTAATCCACGAAAGTAAGCCATGCCTCATTACCAATACATCGATTAGTGTAAAGAAAACACATAGTTGCTTTAAAAAAAATGTAATTTGCATAAAGTATTAATTTTTCGATAACTTTACCTAACACTTTTATATACAAAATAATTAGAGAAATTATGTAAAAAAATGTAAAATATATACAGGGTGGACCATTTTAATCCATCCAGTCGAATATCTCAAAAATCAAGCCCGGCAGAGAAAAATTTTTCAGACAAAAGTTGTTTGGTTTCGAAGGGGACATAAGATGATAATATTGGTTTGACCCTGAGTGGCGTCGTCGAGGTCAGGACAAGATCACTTTAAATTTTTTTAATGGAATCCCCTATTTTTTGTTACATATTCTTGTAGCTTATTTCGAGAGCTTTCCAAAACATATAGGTAAAAT